TGAAAACATGAAAAATAAAGTCTACTTTTCTGAGTTGTGCCAAGGATTAAGGTATTATGTCTGTAAATTCTTGTTACTTCATGTTCTGGAGAGCACCACAGTGATACAAGAGAAAGAACAGATTTTCTACTATAAATTAAAGGAAACATCAGGTAGTTATCTTAAAATTTCTTCTTAAATTATTTCATTTATGTGTGTGTGTGTGTATGTGTGTGTGTGTTGGTGCATACAGACCACTGTACATGTGTGTGGAAGGTCAGAGGACAACTTGGGGGAATGGGTTCTCCTCCTACCATGTGGTTCCTGGGGCTTGACCTCAGATCCTCATCATTTCCCCAGTCCTGTTATTTTTATGTTTTACCAATATGTTGGTTTTCTGTTTTCCTTTCTTTGTTTTGGAGGAAGGGATGGATGGTTTTATTTCACAACTTTATTTATTTTTTTTTAAAGTTTACTGCGTTTATTTTATGTATATGAGTGTATTGCCTGCATGCATATGAGTGCACTTGTGTCATGCAGTGCTGTGGAGGTCAGAAGAGGGCTTCAGATTCCCCTGGAACTGGAGGTAAGGATGGTTCGTAGCCGCCATGTGGGTGCTGGGAATTGAACTCGGGTCCTCTGCAGGAGCAGTCAGTGCTCTTAACCACTGAGCCATCTCTCCAGCCCTTCACAGCCTTCTTTTTTTAGTAGAGTATTTAAAAACCAACTTCTAAAATTCGACTGAGTTTGAATCCTAGCTTTTGAGGTTATTTTGACTTTCAGAGGTTACTTCGACCTCTTTGAATCTTAGTCTTCGCATCTATAGTTCTCTGCTATGTGGTTACAGTATTAAATGGAAGCTTGTCATGTTCTTGATACCTAAGGAGTACTTAGTAATTTGGTGATCCCAAGTGGCACACCTTGAGTAGCCTGTCTCAAATTTTCTCTTTTTAGTAGCAGTATTAGATCTGTACTTGTTAGCCATTTCCTCTTTTTTTTTAATTATTATTATTTTTATTTTATGTGTATGAGTGTATTGCCTGCATGTGTGTGAGGGCACCTGTATCGTGCAGTGCTGCAGAGATCAGAAGAGGATGTCGAATTCCCCTGGATCTGGAGTTAAGAACGGTTCATAGCCTCCATGTGGGTGCTGGGGATTGAACCCAGCTTCTCTGCAAGAGCAGTCAGTGTGCTCTTAACCACTGAGCCATCTCTCCAGCCCTTTTTTGTCTTTTTGAGAGAGGTTCTCCTTGTAGCTCCAGCTGGCCTGGAACTCACTATGTAGACTAGGCTGACCTTAAACTCACAGAGATCTACCTGCCTCTGCCTCCTGACTGCTGGGATTAAAGGTGTGTATCACCATGCCTGGCTAGCCATTTCCTCTAAAACCTTCCTACATTGTCTTAAACAGAAGTCTGAAATTATTCATCTACTGGGCATGAAAGTAGAGGCATGCCTAGATAGTGAGTTCTGAGCCAACTGGGGATACATAGTGAGGTTTTATCTCAGCAACACATTAAAAAAAAATCTCAAATGAACAAACTTTTGTTGTATATTTATGTTTTAAATGTAACTATAAATAACCAAAATCTATTATGGTAAAACACCTCAGAGAATATCCCAAAGTTCAGTTACAAATTGTGTTGTTAGTGACAGGGTTTTACTATGTAGCTGGCCTGGAACTGATGATGTAAACCTGTCTATCTTTGAACTCGGAGGTCCACTTGCTTCTACCTCCTGAGCACTGGGTGTGCACTACCACATCTGGCCTTCATGTCACATTTTTTTTTATTTACTATTTTTATTTTATGCATATGTGTGTATTGCCTGTGTGTAGGTAAGTGCACCCGTGTCGTGCAGTGCAGTGCCTTCGGAGGGCAGAAGAGGCTGTCGGATCCCCTGGGACTGGAGTTACAGACAGTTGTTAGCTGCCATGTGGGTGCTGGGATTCGAACCCGGGTCTTCTGCAAGAACAACCAGTGTTCTTAACTGCTGAGCCATCTCCCCAGCCCTTGCATGTCACATTTTAAAATTATGAATATTATTATTTTGCCATACTGAGGATCTAAACAAGAGCCATGTACATGGCAGGCAGGTACTCTAGATTTGACATGAAAGACCTCAGTTTAATAAGTGTCCAAAGGGAGATTGACTATTTAAAACCCACCTGGAATTCTGAAGTCTAGTGCATGCCATTCATGTGTCTGTTCTGATCTCACTAGCTCTAACTTGGTGTCCCAAGGTTCATCATATTTTCTAGGCCAAATGCTCTTTATAATATTGGGTAGCTATTAATAGGCTGACATTTGCATACAAAGTTGGCACTCCATAAGCTGATTCTTGGTATCAAGGAGTATTATTCATGTGGTGATAATGCCACAAACCATTTTTAAAAAAATTATAAATGTTTATTCTCACAATTTCATTCATATAAATTATGTACTTTGATCATATTCCCCTCCATTGTCCTCTCATTCCCCGTCCCCCCATTGACACCTTCCCAAGTCCCCCTCCTACTTTGACCTCTCTCTCTGCCTCTCTGCCTCTCTGCCTTCCTCTCTCTCTCTCTTGCTCGCTCTCTCGCTCTCGGGTTGCCTGCATGAGTCTAGGGATTATTTACTCGAGCAAGGGCAGCTTCACAATTGGCCACACCACTGAGGAATAGGACTCCTCCCAGCGGTTCCTGACTGCCTATAGCTAGCTGTTCAGGGAGGAGTGGGGCCTTAGGAGTCCTTCCTCTGTCCATAACAGGTTGATGGGTCCAGTTTTGTGAAGGTAACTACTACTTCTGGGAGTTCATGAGTTCAGTGGCCATTGTTTCACAACATACCTTTCCTTCCTTTGGCTCTTACATTCTTTCTGTTTCCTGTTCCATGATGTTCTCTTTGGGTGTTGATATAGATGTTCCATTAAGACTGAGCACTCAGTAGCCACTTACTCTCATTACTTTTACCAGTTATGAGTCTGCATTAGCCATTGAGATTAGCTATTGATGTTTCAAAGAGAAACATCTTTGACCATGGCCGAAAGCAGCACTAAATTTATGGGAATAAGTATAAACATTTATCTTTAAATGTTTTGTTTGCTTATTTATTTATTTATTTATTTTACACTTTAGCTTTGACTGGCCTGGAACTCACCTCATAGACCAGGCTAGCCTTGAACTCAAGAGATTGGCCTGCCTGGAACTAATGACATGCACTGACCAAGCATAAATATCTAGAAGGCAGTTTGACCCATTGTCTCTTTAGCAAAACAAAAGTAGTAGATCCCCACCCCCATCCCCCAGGCCTATAATCTCCCCAGAAATGGGTTTTTGACTAGGTTGTAGTACCAGGCTTAAGTTCTGTCCTATAGAGCTAGCCTCAAATCCATTCAGAAAACAGTTGGTTATCCACCTAACGTCATGTACTTATGGGCACATCTTATTTGGCAGGTTGGTATTGTAACTTGAAGAGTTCATAATTGGATAAGATTGCCAGGCGTGGTAGTGCACACCTTTAATCCTAGCACTCCTGAGGCAGAGGCAGGTGGATCTTTGTGAGTTCAAGGCCAGCCTGGTCTACATAGTTCCAGGACAGCTGGAGCTTCAGGGAGACCCTGTCTTTAAAAGATGAAAAAAAAAAAAAAAAGAAAAAAGAATCTATAAAAACGTGCATGCATTGTATGGTGAAATGCCAGGAGGGATTTGAGAAAAACCTTTCATGTGTGCTACTAGACACGTGTGTGCTTAGGACACAAAAACTGCACTTTGGCATGAACAGGATCAAAATTCTGTCTGCTTAGAAGCAGGCTTCAGAGAAATGGAGCTGATTAAGCTTGTAGTCTCAGCACTGGGGAGGGTGAAACGGGAGGGGTGTCCTATCTGAGACAAGCCTGGGCTACAGAGTGAGACCCTATCTCAAAAACTACAGACACAGATACACAACCCCACGACAAAGGGAGGGGGGAGGGAGGGAGGGAGGGAGGGAGGGGGAGAGAGAGAGAGAGAGAGAGAGGAAGTAGGAAGAGAGAGAGAGAGAGAGAGAGAGAGAGAGAGATTGATTGAGGATGTAAGCAATCCTGCCAGCAAGCCATAGAAAGGTGGTTTTACATGTTCTTTTATTGTGCTTCCTTTGTGTGGCATATTGTAGTTAATTATAGCTGTCTCGGAGGTTAGCTAATGAGGTCCTTGAAGTGTTTGAGATGGGTTGGACCTTTTGCTTAGGCTCTCTATCCCCAGCATACTTTTCGCATATAAGGCACTCCATAAATGCTTCTTGAAAAAACAAGAGTGTATGCTAATTCTAGTGGATGAGAATGTGTCTTAGTCACTGAAACAGATTGTTTATTATTTTTTTAAATCAAAGTGTTTGTGTAGGTCCATGGACATGGTAATTCAGTACATAGACACATTGTGTAATAGTTAAATCAAGGTCTCTTCAAACAATCATTTTTTGTATGTTGGGAATTTTGTAATACTCTTGTCATTTTGTATTATATTGTTAGGTTGTTGTAACCCTAGTGGACTGAAGAAGAATCAGAAATAATCCCTGTTTTGGTGTTCTTTATTGAGCGTCTCGAATTGCTTTTTGATTGGTTCTTGCAGTATTCGTTCAGTTGTCACTGATGTGGTTGCTATTCTTTAACTCATTGTGTACTAGGTGCCTGGATTTCATGCAAGCAGGCACAGTTATATTTTGAAGACATCATTTGATACTTTTAGAGAGGTCTAATGCAAACAGTTGTGCTCTAGGCCATAGATGGAGTACTGACAATAACTTCTGTGAAGACAGGGACACACCCATGCACAGATTCCCTTGTCTGAATTACACTAGCTGAATGTTACTGCTTCCAAGGTATAAACTCACTCCTTTCCACACCTTTAGCAGAGAACAAATCTGAGCTTCTTAGAGGGCTTTTGTCTTTCTGACAAATGCTTTTCAGAACTTATGTATTAATCATTACTAAAAAAAAAAAAAGTGGGCAGTGTAGCATCTGGGGATAAATTGCCATATCCCGTTTTCCTTCTCTGTGAGCAGGATTTCCACTTTCCAAGCCTGATGGGATCTCCCAGCGGGAACAAGATCTACAGGTCTTTGATCTGGAAACTAAGAATAGAGACGTTATAGGAGATGACTGTTCAGGTGAGTAAGGTAGAATCAATCAGATGGAATTAGAGGAGTCAAGTCCAGGTATTTCTCTAAGTTGTGCCTGGGCTAGTACTCAAAACAGAGAGCTCTACCAGTTCTGGAATGGAGAGCTCCTGCCCCTCCTGTAGTTTAGCTTGACCCTTTCTGTTCAGCTTCTTAGGTACAAGTTTGTACTACGTCCCTGTTCAAGTTGTTTATGTGAAATTCTTTTAACCTGTTTTCCTATTTAGCTCCTTTAAAACACCTCACTCTTACTTTGCTAAAATGGGCCCCTGTCTCTGCCCCTTCCTTCATCTATTCAGGCCCTGCCTCGCTGCTCCTATTTATGCCCCTATATCTGCTGTTGAAATTTTGTGCTTATTTTTTGAGTAAATAAAATTTGCTTATCTGTATAGAAACTACATTGTTTAGTTTTCTCCTCTCTGAATTTTTTTAAGCACGGGGTGCAGATTACATGTGCATTTTCTATTTATATATTGTATCAGATGGAGAGACCAGAGACGAAAACAAGCTGTTGATTCCTAAGCGGAAAATTTCAGAAGAAGTATGTTCATACAAAGTGAGAGTAGGAAGACTCAAGCAGGATATCGCCCAAGTTCCTGAGACCAGAGAAGTCTATAAGTCTGAGGACAGGTTAGAAAGGCTCCAGGAAATCCTAAGAAAATTTCTCTTCCTGGAGCGAGAGTTTAGACAAATAACAATTAGCAAGAAAACCTTCACCAGTGAGAAGAACAGTGAACCTGAAAAGAGTTTCAGTCTGGACTCTGCCCTTGATACAGACCAGAGAGTGCTTAGAATACAGACCATTGAGGACAGTAAGTACGATGTGAACTTCAGTCAGAACCCAGCTGCTGGTGAACTTGAACATGCAAACCTAACACAGACTTTTCAGAGTAGTGACTATAAAGAAAGCTTAATGGACCTGTCCCACCTTAATAAGTGGGAGAGCCTTCCTACCCCTGACAGATCCTATAAATGTGATACATGTGGAAAAATCTTCCATCAGGCCTCTGCCCTCACCAGACATCAGAGAATCCACACTAGAGAGAAACCCTACAAATGTAAGGAATGTGAGAAATCATTCAGTCAGAGCTCAAGTCTCAGTCGACATAAAAGAATACACACTAGAGAAAAATCCTATAAATGTGAAGCGTCTGATAAATCCTGTGAAGCACCTGATAAATCCTGTAACCAGAGCGTTGATATAATTCAGCATAAGAAGGTTCATGCCAAAGCCAAGTCTTACAAATGTAGCAGCTGTGACAGAGTCTTCAGCCGTAGCGTGCATCTTACTCAGCACCAGAGAATTCACAAGGAGATGCCCTGTAAGTGCACCGTGTGTGGCAGCGACTTCTGCCACACTTCGTACCTAGTTGAACATCAGAGGGCCCATCATCAAGAGAAACCCTATGAGTATGATGAATGTGGGCTGGCCTACGTTAAACAGCAAGGAATTCGTTTCCGAGAAAAGCCCTATACATGTACTGAATGTGGGAAAGACTTCAGATTGAATTCCCATCTTATTCAGCATCAAAGAATTCACACAGGAGAGAAACTACATGAATGTGATGAGTGTGGAAAAGTTTTCAGCCAAACCTCATGCCTTATTCAGCATCACAAAATGCACAGGAAGGAGAAAGCGTATGAATATAGTGATTATGAGGAAAATTTCAGTCATTCAGATCTTACTCTGCAGCAAGAAGTTCCCACTAGAGAAAAAGTCTTTGATTGTGATGCCTGGGAAGAGAACTTCAGTCAGAGAGCACACCTCATTCACCATGAAAGAATCCATACCAAAGAGAAACCTTATGAATGCAGTGAACTTGGGGAGTCATATAGTCAAGTTCAGGCCTCGTTCAACATGTGAGAATTCATAGCAGGGGAAGTCACATACGTGCTTAATGTGGTAAAGTCTTCAGTTGTAGCTCAGCCCTTACTCGGTATCAGAGAATTCATACCAGAGAGAAACCCTCTGAATGTGATGAATATTGGGAAGTTTTTTGGTGTTAAACTTGTAATTGACTCCTGTAGATCCATACCAGGATGTACTGGACGTGGTCTATATATATCATTTTCATACCTTAGTTACAATTGGGGAATTTGAACTGGAGTAAAATTCCACTACTGAATGTGAAGAAGCCATCAGTCAAAGAAACTATCTTGTTGGTTCAGTGTCAAATTCATGCCATGCAGAAAGCCTACGAAGAAAAATGTGTGGGTATGTGAGGAAATTCATACTGGAGTGCTCCTTCAGCATCAAAGAATCTTATACCCAAGAGAAGTCATTGGGTGTAATAAATATGGCAAGTCTCTCAGCAAGGGTTCATCTGTCATAATGAGAATATACCAGATGGGACTCTGGATCTAATGCAAATGTCAGAATGTCTCTAGGAGATGAGACTGGTAAATGCAAACACTGAAGTTTGCCACTATGTTTCAGGCCTTATCCAATATCAAAGTATTTGAGAGAAAATTGTTACACATGTATACTTGTTCATATTTAGCCCCAGTCTTTCCTTGCAGAATAATCTAATTCAAAAGGTAACTTGGTGAATACAGTCATTTTCTCATGGCGTCCTTTAATATGTAAGTGTTCTAAGTAGGTATGAGTATTTTATTTATAGAACTCACTTAAGCGATCTTTATTTTAATATGCGCTATATACAATTAAAAATTTTTTTCCTGAAATTGATTCTTATTCACAGCTTCCCTAAGATACTGTTAAATGTATCAGTGTTGATAAAACTTCTGGAGAGTAGCTTATTTAACTTTTTGTGGTGTTCTTGACCCAAGTTCTCTCCAAAATAGACTCAGGCCCATTCTTTTCTGAGGACCCTACATCCTATTGTTCCTTTACAGCTACAACCCTTGGATTCCTGCATTCTCTTAGGCACCTTTAAATGATGATTTCCTAGTGGTAAGCTGCTCACCAGCAGATAATGCTGTTCCTGCTTCCGTGTTGCTGGTATGATGTCTTTCCTAACGTGAAGCATCTTTTAAGAGAGTTGAATTTCTACATCAGCCACCCATGAGTTTGGAGGATTTGTCTTCTAAGTTTGTGGCGGGCACCCAAATACTTCCAAGAGACATCCATGTTTTTAGCTGCCTTGTTTTCATCCACAATCCTCTAAAAAAGATGACGACGACATCAGGGAGCCAATAAGATCCCTGGTGGCCTAGCTACATTCATTCAGTGCCTATTTTGCATGTCTACATTCAGAATTCTTTTATATGCCTGTATTGAAGGCCAACAAAATGCTCAGGTCTGCTTTTGAAAAAAAATCAGAGAACTTTGTAAGGAATACAGCCTTCCAATAAAGATGTTGCTGTTCTTTGGTAATATATCTAGACATTATATGAAGAGTGTGACAGGTCCATTCCTGATAAAAGTTTAACCATTGGGATTGTTTCTTTATCTGTTCTTTATCTGCCCCCCCCCACTCCCTTCATCAAGCCAAGGATAGTATTTAAAGTGTGGGGGCTCTATGTAGAATTGTTCATGCTTTGCCACACTTTTGTTTGGAGATGTAGTCTCACTTTGTTGCCCAGGTTGGCCTTGAATTCCTGGGCTCAAGTGATCCTCCTGCCTCCCCAATAGATGGGACCATAGACATGCACCCCGGTGCCTGGATTTTATCTTTGTGTTTTAATAGAATCTACAGGCTATATAAGAAGATCATGACTGTTTTGATTTCTAAAAGTGATCACAGATGTTGGCTCCTGACTTCAGGGTCACTGCCTGATAACCTAAACAGACTTCATGATTCTTTGGATGTTGTCAAAGCATTTTATTGGTTTTTTCCATCTTAAACTTCATAACATTTTGTGAATAAGACAAGTGTTATTTAAAATTCTAGTTGTCAATCAAGCAGTTGAGGCTTTCATAGTCCAGATGTTGTAGTGATCACTAGAGATCCTCAACAAATATATGAAAATATATTGCTCACTCTATAAACCTTGTGGCTAACCTCTAAGATAGCTCTGCCGCTGTACTGTCCTTTCCATCAGCAAGCATAGTATCTCATCAGGACAAGAAAATCAACATATATCCAATGATCTAAATGTAAAAGCAAATGAAAAGTGCATGTTTTTTTTCCCTATCAAACATGTATGCTCTTACTTATAGAGACCGGTAGTCCCCTCTGGTGACTATGAAGCAGAAGATTAAGTAATCCCTAAATAGCAGAGTATGTAAAAATCACATGTATGCATTTGGTTTAGGAATGTGCTTTTGTACTACTACTTGAATAAAGGTGTGCTTGATACTCTGAGAATCTTGTTTTGAACCAAATCTAAAGGCCCAGCAAGGAGCACTGGGTGTCTGGGAATCCATCACCTTCCTGGCTGCAACTCTGCTTCCCTCAGAAACCTGCTTCACAACAGGAATGGATCACACTTTTGTATTGACACAAAGCTTGCATTTCCACAGACCTCCGCAGCCCTTTACAATTGAAAGTAGTCATTCATTTGGGATGCTTCAAGATGTGAATAAGAGCAAACAGCTTGGGGTTTTAGTGGAGATAGGAGAAAATGTATTTTGGTAAGTAAAAAACATACTTAAGACAGGAACCAGGTGTGGTGGCACATGCCTTTAATCCTGGCACTAGGGAGGCAGAGGCAGGCAGATTTCTGGAACAGTGAGGCTAGCCTGGTCTACATAGTGAATTCTAGGTCAGCTGGGGCTATAGGAAGACCTATCTCAAAAGAACACCCCCCCCGCAAGCCAAAATAGTTCTTGAAGGCAAGTAACTTGTCTCTTTAGATAATTAATATAATGCAGTATGACATTATATTAAGTCTTTAATCTTGAAGGGGTAGGGAAGAGAAGAAATCTGTTAGGGGACATCTAATGTGTCTGTTTCCTGTTTACCAACCTGTACATACGTCCATGTATACATTCCAGCTTAATTCTCAGCACAATCCTGCAAGGGAGTTGGGTTCATTCACAGATGAACAGAGATGTAGACAAAAGATTTTGGTAGGATCTCACAGGAACTTAATGGCTTGTGGTCTGAATTGGTTGAGTCAAACTTTACATCGTTATGATACAGGTAGTAGACATATCTCAGGTCACAGGGTTGATTTTCTTTGAAGCTCGTCCTATTACATCCTAAGTGATTTAGTATTGGCTTCAACTGATCCCAAAGCCTACCAAGGCTGTTTGGGATGCTAGAAGAGAATGTCTTGTGTTTTTGTGTGAAGGAAGTAGTTAAGAGGCTTAAGACAATTTTGACATGATGGGTTAACAGGTCACATCTCCCAGTGTCTTATCTCCTGCCCAGATATCCCTGATTCATCATTAGTTTCACTTTCCCATTTCTCAGCATCCATTTTTAGTTCATAACTTTTTTTTGTTAGCCAGAACTTGCTGATGAATCCTTGACCCAGTGGAGCAAAATGGGTAATGGGAAGAAACTTGCTGTGTAGACCAGGCTGGCCTTGAACTCAGATCCACCCGATTCTGCCTCCCAAGTGCTGGGATTAAAGGCATGCATGACCACACCCAGCAGTTTTTTGATTTTTAGTTTTTGTAATAATTTATTTTTATGTGTATGAGTGCACCCATGTTGTGCAGTGCCCTGGAGGTCAGAAGAAGGCTTTGTATTCCCCTAGAACTGGAGTTAAAGATGGTTCGTAGCGGTCATGTGGGTGCTAGGAACCCAACTTGGGTCCTCTGCAAGACCAGTCAGTGCTCTTAACTGCTGAGCCATCTCTCCAGACCCCCAGCAGTAAGATTAAGAAAATATGTAAGCTGGGTGTGGTGGCACACACCTTTGATCCCAGCACTGGGGAGGCAGAGGCCAGCGAGTTCCAGGGCTACAAGGAGACCCTGCCTCAAAAAAAAGACAAAAAAAAAAAAAAAAAAAAAAAAAAGGAAGGATTTGTGTTGGATATATGCACATGAGTGCAGGTGCCCAAGGAGGCCAGAAGCATTGTACCCCTCTGGAGTTACAGTTGTTTGTAACAACATGGGTCCTGGGAACTGAACTCCAGTCCTCTGCAATAGTAAGTTTCAACCACTGCTGTTTCTCCAGCCCCCAAAGTTTTAAAAAATATTTTTGCCAGGTGTGGTGGCACATGCTTTTAATCCCAGCACTTGGAAGGCAAAGTCAAGTGGATGCTCTGAGATCCAGGACAGGCTGGTCAAGTCCAAGCTAGCTGAGGCTATAGAGAGACCTTGTCTCAAAAAAAAAAAAAAGAAAGGCTGGGCATGGTGGTGCACGCCTTTAATCCCAGCACTCAGGAGGCAGAGGCAGGCAGATCTTTGAGGCTAGTTTTGTCTACAAGTGAGTTCCAGGCCAGCTGGGGCTACAGGGAGACCCTGTCTCAAAACATCAAGAAAGATGGTGGAGAAGTGGCCTGGGGGTTAAGAGCAGTTGCTGTTACACCAGAGGACCTGGGTTCAGTTCCCAGCACTTACATGGTGACTGCCATCCTCATCTGGTCTTCTCCAGCACTACATACAGACAAACATGGTGGGACAGGGAGACCCTGTCTCAAAAAGACCAAAAAAAAAAAAAAAAAAGCCAAAGATGGAAAGGGGTGGTATGACTTGCCATCATGTGACATAACTTTCAAACTCCAACGCACAGCAGCTGTGGTTACCTTCACAAGACCCACACAAAATCAAGCCAGCCAAAATTTCAGTATGGATGGGGGAGGAGGCTCATAAGGTCCCACCCCTAGCTGAGGAATCACTTTTCTTTATGGGTGTAGCCCAGTATGGGAAGACTGCCCCACTTCAATGGATGATCCCATACATATATGCAGTTAAGAACACTGGTTGTTCTTGCAGAAGACCCAGGTTCGAATCCCAGCACCCATATGGAAGCTAATATTTGCCTACATGCAGGCAATACACACATACACATAAAATAAAAATAATAAAATCTTTAAAAATGAAGTTGGATTATTTAACTGGGGAATAAGGGTTTAGACAGTCCACATGGACTTTGAGATAGCTTGTGTTTGGGGTTTTTCCTTCATACATTTGACCTTCTAATTATGTGTTTATGCCTGGCTAGGGATTAAACTCAGGGCCTTGCACATGCTAACCGGAGTACTCTGCTGCTGAACTATGTCCCCACCCCTTAGTGTCTTGGGAAAGAGTATGACTATGTAGCTCAGGCTGTTGGGCTGGCCTGGAACTCTTGATCCTGTTGCCTCAGCTTCCTGAGTGCTAGGATTATAGGTATGAACCGACACACCCAGCTCCAGGCTAGCTTTTGTGTATGTGCACATATGCCTCTGTGTGTGTGGGGGGGCATACATGTGGACACCAGAGGGCAACACGGTATGTCCTTCCTTAGGTGCTGCTCACCTTAAAGAAATTTAAAAAATTTTTTAGAATATTTTTATTATTCCAAAACAGGCAATTTTAAACACATTTTTTCCAGAAATAACTTGAAGCAGGTTACATAAAAATACATATACAATGGGGGAAAATAGTAATAAATCAAAGACCAAAGGATTTGCCAACATGGGGTCAACTTTGGTGAAATAATGAAGGTTTCCAGCTCTGTTCTTTTTCTTTCTTTTTGAAAATCCTAACGAGTTTATTGGGCTCGCTAACAGAGCATAGGGTGGGGGTTTATTTACAGAAGAGTGGTGTCCCCAATTAACCCTCCCTCTCTCTCTCCCTCCCTCCCTTTCTTTCAATCCTAACTCATTTATTCAGCTTACTAACAGCATAGGGTGGGGATTTATTTATAGAAGATTGCCCCCCCACACACACTTATGGCCGTGCTGGAAAGTTCACACTCAAATATAGATCCTGTGAGTTCCTGACAGCCACACAAAATGGTGAGAGAGGTACCTCATGGCATTCTCAGTTTATATATCCTTAGCCCCTCTCCCACATGCAGCTAAGGTTGATTGCTTGGGTGGGAGGGGTAACTGATTCTCCCGTGGACTCTTTGACCAGCATGGGAAGGAGGTGTGACTATAGGTTGCTGGCATAGTGGTCAGAGGACACTTCCAGGTAGCATTTCATCCCTTCCTCTAGCTCTTAAATTCTTTCTGCCCACCTTTTCTACAAAAGTCCCTGAGCTTTGGAGGGGGTGGTAGGTGTGGGATGATCTTCCTCCCATTGTGGCAAGACACTGACTTTCAGGTCTCTGCTTCATCTGTTTTCTAAAACAGATATAAAAAAATTATAAAAATTTATAAAAAATTTTTTTTTAAATTATTTTTATGTGCATGAGTGTTTTGCCCGTGTGTGAACCAAATGAATGCAGTGCCCAAGGAGAGTCAGAAGAGTGTGTTGGACCCCCTGGAACTGGAGTTATAGATGGTTGTTAGCCACCATGTGGGTGCTGGGAACTGACCCTAAGTTCTTTGAAAGAGCAGCCAGTGCTCTTAACTGTCAAACTATCTCTAGACCCTTTAAAACAATGTGTTATGAGCATCTTACCTGCATGTATCTAAGTATATCATGCTACAGAGGCCAGAACAGTCCATCAAATCCCTTGGAACTGGAATTAAGGACCAGTGTTAGCTACTATATAGGTGCTTGAAACCCAACCTCTGTCCTTTGGAAGAGCAGTAAGTGCTGTTAACTGTTTACTTTTTTGTTTGTTTGTTTTGCCTTGACCTCACAGAGATCCACCTGCCTCTGCCTCTTGAGTGCTGAGATTAAAGGTGTGCACCACCACACCTGGCACTGTTTACTTTTTGAGGCTTAGTTTTTTTTTTTTTTAAATTTATTTTATGTGTGTGAGTGTATTGCCTGTGTGTGCATGTGTAAGTGCATCCATGTTGTGCAATGCCTGTGGAGGCCAGAAGGGGATCCTCTGGAACTGGAGTTACAGACAGTAGTTAGCTGCCATGTGGGTGCTGGGAACTGAACCTAGATCCTCTGCAAGAGCAGCCATTGCTCTTAACTGCTGAGCCATCTCTTGAGTCCCAAGACCTGGTTTCTTTTCCTTTTTTTTCTTTTTTTTTTTTGTTTTTTTGAGACAGGGTCTCTCTGTAGCCCACCTGGCCTGAAACTATGTAGACCAGGCTGGCCTCGAACTCACAGAGATCTGCCTGCCTCTGTTTCCCGATACTATCCTGGAGCACTCCAGTTGGGCTAGACTAATACTGGCCAGCAAGCCCCAGGGATCCAACCTTCAGCACTGGGCTTATGTCTGGCTTCTCCCTCTTTACCTCCCTTCCTCCCTCCCTCCCTCCCTCCCTCATTCTCTCTCTCTCTCCTTTTGAAGGAAAACGCCTCTCAGACCCCCCCCCTCCCTATCCTCTAAGAAAAAAAACTGCCTTCCACCTGACTCTG